TATTTTTTAAATTAAACGTACTCTTAGTGTTAATATCAAATCTTAATTTTATGTGATTTTTACTTGGCAGATTAAGCTATGTAAATTTAAAATTATCTTACAAATACCAATATTAAAAGTATATTTAGTTTGAGAAAATGTTTTTATCTAATCTAATTAAAATTTTAATTTAATTAGATAATTTTTTCATCTTCACAATTTTCCTTAAACTAAATATGACATCCTTTAACAATACTTTTCCTATACCTTTTTTTCACGCACTTCGTTTAAAAAAGTGAATTTATAATTAATTAATTTTATATAATTTTATTAATTTTAAATTGATATTTTACATACTTTTAATAAAATAAAAAATTATAAAAAATATCCCATAAAATAAGCATAATAATTATCACTATTAATATTGTTAAGGTCATCAAAGTTTTAATTGTTTTTCTTAATTAATGTTTAAAAATATTAATTTATTAACTAATTTTAATTTATTAATTAATAAAATGTTAACTGTTTTTTCAATTAATAATTAATAAATATTTTATTAATTGAACTAAATAAAATTATTTTTTTTTGAACATGAAACTAAATAAAAATATTATTTTTAAAAAATAATATTTTATTATTTTAATGGTTCTTATTGTCGGTGCCATAACCGCCACCGTGACTGGTAGTTCATTTTCCTTTCCCTCACTAAAATCTCGTGTCTATAAATTTATTTACTTCATTAAAAAAATTTTAAATTCATAATTTTCTTTCTTTCCTCCCTCACTGCTTGCCAGTATCCATGGCAGACGTAACTCGCCTACCGATCTCTTTTCATTCACTCCATTTCGCCATTTCTTCGCCTGTGACCTCCTCCGCCTCCGCCTCGCCTACGTTGCTGGCTTTCCCACCCAATCAGAGTTTAGTTAAGAGAACATCTCCTCCTCCTTACGTCGGTGGTCTTGCTCGTCTGGCTTTTCCCACTAGAAAGCAATTTACGTCTTTTAAGGTTTGAACTTTTTGCTTCTGTTCTAAATTATGAAGGAAATTATGAGGACCCTTTTGTTAATTTTTGTTTGTGTGGTTTCATTTGATCATTATGACGATGTTTGTCTAGTTTTTAGGGTCGGAGAGATTGAAACTAGTCTCGTCCTTTTTTCATCAGAGCTGAATTTGAAACCTTGGTGGGGGGTTTTCTTGTTTTCGGTGTTGTTTTTGCTAAAAATGCATCTGCTAGTTCCATGAATTTCTGATAATTTGCTGACCCTTTACCATATTCATGAGCTTCTGGCAGCCTTATGTTTCAATTTTGGTTTGTGTTATTATACTTTATGTTTTGCCCTTAATCTGTTTTACTGCAGTGCATGATGGATCATGGAACCAAAAAAAAAAAATTCTGACATATTTTATAACCTGCTTTAGCTTTGAATCCTGGAGGGTATGAAACACATATGTTGTCTGTCATTTTTTTGGCATAGTGTGGAGTATTTCATGTTTCCCTGCAAAGTTTTCTGGGGACAATGAGATTGATCAAGTTCCTTTACTTCAGGTACATGCCACTATTGCTGAAACTCAACGACCAAAATGGTGGGAAAAGAATGCAGGACCAAATATGATAGACATTCATTCCACACAGGAATATTTGAGTGCCTTAGCTCAAGCTGGAGATAGACT